TACCCCCAATATAGCCGGCTAGGGGTGACCGGGGGTTGCGAGACTAGCTCCAGGGATTTGTCTTCGGTAACCCAAAGGGCCCAAGTACCCAATAATTAGGTACTTGGGTCTGGGGTAATAGTAATTATTGTACAGGTTTTGGGTAAGTATCTGATTATTAGGTACTTGGACCCTTAGGGTACATGACCCTTTCTCAGCAGACTGCATCAACAACATGAGAAAAAGTCGAACGTATCCTCACATGAGTGATTGTGAGAAGCCTGACAGCCGGGTTTAGGGTTTAGGGATTAGAGATTATCCCTAAACCCTAAACCCTAAACCCATAGGGTTTAGGGTTTTGGCACTCAAGCCCTGAAGCCTTCGCAGGAGACCAGGGCGAACCATGGAGAGCGGCTGCCGTCATCTGGAATGATTATTGCTGAGGGTTTAGGGTTTAGGGTTTAGGGTTTAGCCTAGGGATCCAAGTATACAAATGAAATCTACACCTAAACCCTAAACCCCAAAAATTGGGCCCTAAAGTCTGTAAATGTTACCAACATGGGGCCCAATTTGGATCCGCAGGGAGCCTTGTCCTTGTTTGTGAAGCTTCACTTGAAGGTCCATGGGACTTAGTTATAACCCTATTTATAATCTTCTTAGCTGGACTTTGAGGTGATCCCAACTATAAGTAGGGTTATACCACACGGTTTAGGGTTTAGGGTTTAGGGTTTAGGGGGGTTTAGGGGGGTTTAGGGTTTAGGGTAAGTATTTACTAAGTCCCATGAACCTCCAAGCAGTATCCAAAAGCTATAGCCCACGATGCACTTCCCCTGTGTCACATCCTGTGAGCTCAAGGAGTACCGAGAGCTACTGGGGAGCTTCTGAAAAGAATCCCCATCAAAGCCTCTACTCCTTATCCCTAAACCCTAAACCCTAAACCCTAAACCAATATTATCAGTTCTCATACATCCCCACGGAAGGGTCGACCCTATGTTGACATGTCCTGACGCTGACCCAGGTCACCGTCCCAGGGTCTGCAACAGCCTTGCGCTTTGTGGGCACCACAGGCAGTAGGGTTGGTCCGGGAGACATATAGTTGAATCTTGGGGTACCCTACAGTATCTGCTGTAGATTCTAGAGCCCTAAACCCTAAACCCAATTTTGGGACTTGGAGTGGTGCAGCCTGTTGTCCATAAACCGGGGGTACGGGAATCACTTTTGGGGGAGTGTTTAGAGGGTTGCGTGGGAACGCTATGTCCCTAAGGGTCCAAGGACCCAAATAATAGGGTTTTAGGGCCCAAATACCACTAACATTATAGTATTTGGGCCCTGAAACCCCATTATTTGGGTCCTTGGACCCTTAGGGTGTTGGGTGTCCAACTGGCCCTAAACCCTATAGACCCATGTGCCACATGTTTGGTTGGAGGGGTTGTTCTCCTGTCCTTTCAGAATCCTGTATCATGTTGTTCTGTAAACATACCGTGTGCCTCTTTGCGCACTTTCGCAGCCTGTGTTTTCAGTTTCCAGGTTCCAATGTCGGGTTCATGTAGAAATGACAGAGGTCATTCAAGCTTTTTGAGGCCACTGGAGCACATGGGCCTTAACAATATCAAAAAAAGGCAAGCATCAATAAAGAAATGTGAAATCCTGAAAACAACAAGGAGAACCGTGAATTGCCAGGCTGTTCCGATCCTCTGGTCCTAGGAACCCAAGAATACTGAAGCAAAACCAGTAGTAGTCATAGTAAGTAGCATGCTCACAGCAGTCAGATCAATTTGTCTGCTCGTAGTAGCTCTAGTAATCGTAGTTGTCATGGTGATCTTAGTACTAAACTGAACACAGTACCTGTAGTTACTCTAGTACTAATAGCAAGAATAGTATACGAAATTTCAGGACTGATATTTCTAATATTGACAATACTCATAATTCTTACAATGCTAGTAGCATGAAGCACAGAAAAAAACGGGGAATAATTCCAACCGCAGTAGCACTACTAAGAAGACGAATCATTTGTGTTTCGTTGGGTATTGTTTTTGTTTTTCTGTTAGCAGGGTGGGTGCTGCACGGAAGCAAGGACGCAAGGAAGGAAGCAGGGAACAAGGAAAGAAGCAAGGAAACAAGCACGATTGCCCGGAATCCACATCAACATTTGCCACATTTTTCAATGGTTTGCAACTGGGGGGGTTCGCCCTACTCGTACTACAGGCTACCCGGTTCATCAATGCAAGGGAAATGGGGGCTGCGCCCCCGCCTCAACCTCCACGTTTTTTTGAGCATGAACCAGTATCATGTCTAATCGTGAATCCTCGTCAACAACTGCCACGAGGTTCCAAGGCCATAATTAGAGCAGTGTCGTCCTCACCGCCGAAAAGCTCCTACAGCCAGGACAGGTCTGCGCTTTGCAGATACCCAGCTCCAAAAGCCAAGACAGTTCTGCACTTCGCAAATATGAGACTCCAACAAACGATGACAGTTCCGCATTTCGCCACCACAAGGCTCCAAAAGCGATGATTATTCTGCATTTTGCAATCGACGATTTCCGCCCATTTGTTGATGTCAATCACAAGTTGTTTTGAAGTCTGGTAGGTCAGATTTGTTTGTGATGTTTATCAAGCTGTTTTGATGCTTCAGCCTGGAGGGTGTAGTTTCGAGGAGTAGAAGTAACCATTTCAATGTCGTGGTGGGGCGTCCGACTGTCGATGTGAAAATCCTGCATGATTCTATAAGTTTATAAGTCCCTAATATCTTTGGAACTGTGGTATTCTAAAGAAAGTCGTGCAAGGTTTCCAATAGCCTTGACCACACTCCATTTGCTGGGAAATGGCCCGCAAGTTTTTCGTTCTTAAGGAGACTTATGCCGTCATGTTTTTTTTCAGTTTTTCGGCTTCTCGTCCTTAGACGGATGCGAGCTAGCAAGGAGCCCAGCTACTACATAGAACGAGCACAGCCAGAAACAATATTGCTGGACAAAGTCATGCATGACCCCAGGTATGTCATGCTACCGGCTATACTACGACAATTCAACAGAAGGTCCTGGCAGATACTTGAGGCCTTGGCCGGCAGTGACTTTCCAAAACCTGTACTACAAATACTCGCACCAAAAGCTCAGGTATCCAATCATTGGGTACATAGACCCTTAGGGGATGTCTCTGTGTTGTCATGTCTTTCCATCACGGTAAATCTCGGGAAGGTACGTTTTCTCATCACGGAATCTTTGTCACCCCTAGAAACCCTTCTGCTACATAGGTGAATGGAAAGCAAAACCGAAGCTACCATAGTACTTAGGGTTTAATGTTTGATCCGTATTACTGGGTACTACGGTTGATACCACAAGTCATGCCTGACCTTATCATACTGTAACCCTATAGTTCAAAAATCGGGATCATGAGGATGTAGAGGGCAACATAGTATGGTGGGTCGCCCTCATTAAGGACAATGCTAGAGTATTTGGTGTTGCAAAGGGTCACCGGCATATTTGGAATCGCCCGCTGGCACAAGGCTCTTCATGGAAAAGCGACATCGCTCTGGATTCCATTGTGGGTGCGGAGGTGGCCCCAACTACTCCGCCGCCCATTCCTGCTGCAGAGGCATAGAAGTGTAGGAGCTGCCTGTAATCCAAGTGCAAAAAGTTGTGTGCTCTTAAGCTTTGGACTACGCTGTAGGTAGATGTGAATGGAACGAAACATGGAGTCGACGCTCCCTGAATGGGGTTCACGCATAGTAGTTACGTAGGAAAACGCTTTCAGCACCATAATGTAAGCCACAGCCATGTTTTTCGAGTCCTCCCCAAAGTTTCTTTTTTTCATCTTCAAAATGTTCTTCCTGCCATAGCGAAGCACTCAAACCCTTCAACATGTTGGCCCGTCTCAGTGTTTTTGCTCCTTTGCTGCAATATGGGTCGTCCAAATGGAAACTTGAAAAAGCACAGGGCTTGTGAACATGTCATGTCACCAAATGGCTTTTGTTAGCGAAACTCGCAGCGCTCACTAGGTGTGCCACCCTGTGTATGTAGGACGTCATTGGAGTTCCATTGCATGGCAAACTTAGGTTTGACAAGTTCTTTGTAGCCCCATATGGCTTCAGCATGAGTATACAAGAAGTTACGCACTCTGATTCAAACAAACTCCTTTCAACCAGCATGGGTCCCTTCAGGAATTCCTACACTAAGGACCCTATTGTTTGGGACCCCAACTTTGAGAAGCACCTCCTTTGGGCTTCAGAACAACCATGGCCAGTGCAAGTAGAACATCTCACGATTTCTGTAAAGGCCTCGTCAGAGAACCTAAGCCGCTAAATACCCAACCTTGAATCCCTTAAGTCCTTGAGACCCAAACTCCTCCACCCTAACCCCCTGTGGCCCCAAACAAAATGCTGAGCCTCTGAACCCTAACCTAGGGTGTACTTGTGGGGCTTGCAGGGTTTTGATCTACAACAGGTCAGCTCGTACTTGGGATAGGCTTCCACACAGTCGTTCTGGCATAACAGTAATAATGGTTCTATGGGGGTTTCCCAAGATTAGGGGTGTTTTTTAGGAGTTAAAAATATTTTGGGGTGTCCTACGTTGAATTGGGGTCCCCTTATTTCGGCAAACTACCGCATGAGGACCCCCATATACTTACCAGTAGTGGTCAATGCTAGTACTTCAGCCATGATCCTAACCTAATGGGGTTTAGGGTTCGAATAATGGCCAAGTTGGACCTTTTCAATAGTTTTGAGCCATTCACTGAGCTACATTGGAGGCTCATGCAATTGTACCCGCAATCCTAACAGGAGCAGTCATAGCGATTGCACGTGCATTGGAATGTCTGAGTCTGACGTGATGGAAACCACGAACAAAATAATGTAATGGTATACTTTTGCCAAGACTAGCAGCATGAAAGAGACGTGCTTTACCAATATGCGCAAACCTAGGGCAGTCGATTTTTGTTTGAAAACTTCGGGATGTTGGAACTTAGCCTGGCAGTTTCTTCGTTGATGCTTGACCTTCGGGTAAGGGCGGTAAGATGCTGAGTCCCTGCTGAATGAGCTTCCGGCTTCCTCCGTCCCGCCACGCACAATATGTCTAATGTCTAAACCCCACATGCAATCTTGCGATAGCAGGAGGCTTAGGAAAGCGCAGGCGCTGACCTGCGCCTTCGAGAACGAGTTCTGCAAATGGATCAATGACGCCGGGGAGGTGGCATGGACTCTCCTCAAGGGAGGAGCCTAGGAAGCGCTTCGTAAGGTGCTATGGATTTGGGAGTTCCAAAAAGTAGGTTCCAAATTGCACAAAGGACTTTAGGTACCGAAACTTTGTGACTATAGTTGTTGGCAACTCGAACCCAATGTTTTTCCGTGGACCCTAATGGATGTGTTGAAGGACATGTCTGGGTATTCTCAACATTCTGGTCAACTATACTGTGCTTCCCATGTGATACGCAAGACTTACAGGGCTGAATGTCACATTTATGGTGACAACACAGCACGACCCTGATAGTGAAAACTATCCATGCGGGTTTGAACAGTGTTTTGTAGTGATTTGCAGGATTGACGTTTGCAGTGGTTTTAACCTGTGCTAGCGTTGCTTCCCCTAGTGAGCATCCCCGCCTGATAGTCCCGCCTTGACCCTTATGCCCCACCCCTTTTGGTACCTTAGTCTATATGTAGTAGGTACGCGCCACAGAGGTAAGCGCATCATAAAGGGTCCAGGTAGTAGCGAAAGAAACATACGGGATGCCTGAGTCCCACGAGGCATAGCAGTTATCATGGGTAGGCATTTGCCACGCCGTTTGGGATTTGGGGCTTGAGCTCCCTAAGCCCAAAACCCCTTAAATCCTAAACCCTAAGCCAACCCTTCAGCGGAGGATAGTCGACTACTGCTATCTCTTCAAAGAAGGTTGGTGAAAAGTCCATCCCGGAACCATCGTAAACAGAGTTCCCACGTAGAGAGTTCCCAAAAATCCGAAAATTGGCGGTCCCTTTTTCG